TGCGATCATTTTCAATGCGCTGATTTGTGCGACCTCGAGAGAAAAGGAAATAAGATGGTTTTGAGGCAAAAACCAAACCTCTAGATATCTGGTAAAAATGTCTGCAACATGGCTTTCTAGAATTAGATTCGGAATGTTTTTTCAGGTTAAAGTCAATGAAACAAACATAACAGCTTAGACAATGTATTCTCTAACTTAAAAAAAAATTGAAAACTTTAATATAATATATCTTTTAATGTAAACAACGGTAACGACGACAGGAAATATCCTCAGCGCTTAACATTGGGCGTCTTGCAAACTGAAAACCATGGCAACAACATATCAACAATCCTTCCGCACGATCTTTTTGATACATTTTATCTCAATAAGTGAAGTAAGATCGGTAAATATCGCAAAGAAGGTTGCAGATCTACTGATCTCGACGAATTACAATGTAGAACGCTTTTCAATAAAATATCGTAAAACGAAACTAAAGTAATTCCAACAGCAAATCAAATGGACGGCAAATGCCTTGAAGATGAGAACTCAAAGTAAAACCAATCAAACTCCCTGAAGCGCGGGAAAACGTGAGGGATCATGTGGTGATTGGTTTAATTTTTGTACCTGATTAGTAGAAAGAGTGGCGCGAGTTTTCTGGTCGCTGCGATTGACGTATGAAGTCACCGGTATGTGGCATGTCAGATATCGGCCATTTTCGCTGGCAATCAAATTCGCCGCGATCGGCGAATTAATTCACCGAGTATCTCTTCTGCTTAAGAGACCTTTTGACAGTTATTCGACAAGGTTGAGCAAACTATCGGGATTTGACAGCAGCGTGCATAACATATTATTCATCTCTGTTTAAATTTTATGAGAATTGCCAGGAAAGAAAAAGAAAACAACAGGAAAAAGAGAATTTCACTTTACCAGTCTAAGAAAAAATTGGTAGTTTATATCGATTCTATCTAATTGTTCGTAAGCGATATAAAATTTAAATAAAAACTCCGTGAATTCACCATGCATGAAATAACTTGCGCACGCAAAGTCGCTAAAAAGTGCGACTCCAGTTTGGAAAGAGAAAACAAATAAAAACGGGTATTCACATAACCCATAGTCCTACGCGTTATTTCGCGCGAGCTTCCAAAATTTAAATGTCTGAGCACGCGTCACGCGTCACGTCAGTTCGCTTTTATTTTAAACCATTTGGCCTTCCCATAGAATGTTTCTGAATTACAGTGAAGATGTTTCAGTTTTTGAATTGGTCAAACACCAATCTTGGCTACATACTCAAATTTTAAAAGCTACACAGGTGTGGCCATCACGTCCATGATACACTGCAACAATTCGTCCTCGCGGTCAACTTTGTTTTGGAGTGTCAAGCATAATCACAAGGACTACGTCTCCAATATCTAACGCCTGCAAACACTTAGCGATTTTATTCGTTGATCGGCGAAAATCGGCAGGCGCGCCCGCTGCAGCGATGACGGTTTTCAGCACTGATCACCGCGATTGGCATATAAAATCGTTGATATCTGGCATGTCACTTTGTATCAGCGGCTTAAGGTCCTAAGAGCAGGAACACATTATTTGCGCCATTTCCTCCAATCGCCATCTTTGACGTCTAAAAAACAGAAGTGCTTTTGACAGATTCAGTGGCCACCTGTCCTTCCGTTTTGCCCGAGCGAAATGATGGTTTGGGGTTAGCACAACCTCTTTTGGTGATCTGAACTCCGCTAGGTTAACGGACGGGGAATAACAACGGGGACTCTACGAACACTGTGATCAGCTCCTCACCGGTCACCACTCGGACCCCTATTATATTATTATATCCCTACGGCATAAATGACTTTCCTTGCAGTTTTCAGTCTTTAAATTTGTGGGCAGCAGATGGATTGAACCTCCATATGTTAGTCAAAGTTGGAATGTCTTGCTCTGGAGTAATTGTCGGTCTAACAGCTTTCTTTAACTCTTTAATTACCGGAGCCAGCGGGTACAATCTTCAAGTTAGCCGGTTGTCTTACACTGGAATGACATTTGTTTTAATACTTCAATGCAGAGCGCGAGCCTCTTTTCCGACAGTACGGGTGTTCTATGGAAGATCCGAGGGCGCAAAGATCTCCAACCTCAAGCCATGTTCGTTAGGGGATCAAGCGATTCTCTAAAATTTTGTCGCCCCATTTTAAGCCCTTTGGATCCAAGTCCTGATGAAAAAGCATCCCTGGAAGAATAAACGGAGCTGCCATTCCAGCAAGTCATGAACGGAATTGACCATCAGAAGTATACCACGCCTAGTACAAAGTCGATCTTTAATGAGCACTTAGAAATCAAACGTGCCAGTCGAGACGAACCAAGATACAACCAGGTGCATCACAGTTGCATGTCTCCCATCACAGATTGCAGTGCGCGCAGGGCTTCTTCTTGCGGCATCATATCGATTGGTGTCTTTTTCTGAAACACGAGAAACACGGGCTTTTCTTTTAAACGAAATCAAAACGTTTGCAGACGGAACTAATTAAAAAACCTACACGACGCACTCTTCCTACTTTATCAAGAATACGATCGTTGATGTCTCGCCACATGCTCTGCATCTTAGGAGGCAGTCTCTCTATAACATTTCTTATGTTGTCGGGGATTTAAACCATGTGGAGATACCCGGTAGTTTTGAGGATGTTGGTGCAATCGAACAGGAGAATTGAAACACCTACAGATTCAGCTTCCTTCTGGGTTTAGGCACAAACAGCTACGCACATTCTGTTGAGCTCTTCTTTATGTGTTGCTCCAACAAATACAATCTGCCAGCACTTTCATGTTTATTTCCTTCGATAACAGTCTCGAAGACATGCGCGAAAAAATATTAAACGGGGGCTTTTTTTCTCGAGTTTTTCTGCTGCTGATTTACGAATTCCTCCATCGCACGATTTTGACTTTCAAGATTATAGTAGGCTTGGTCTCTAAGATTAAATTCGTCATCAGGGTCTAAAGCAGAAGATCTCCGAACCGTTTTTTGCTAAGTCTTCTGACTCACGAGTACGATAATCGCATTATAAAACATGGATCAAATTCTGTTTGGAGCTCTGGGGGATCTCCTCGGGAGGACTGGCCTCGCATGGTGCGGATAAGAGAGCATGGACACGACGCCAAGAGAAGTCCTTTCAACATTTACCTTAGCATACTCGTCTTCCCTGGCTACTGCCTTCTTGTGTTTCTTTTCCAGTTTAAGCTGGTCGAATTGATCATTAGTCTGAGAAATCCTATGAGGTGAAAAGAGTAAGAAAAAATTTTGTCTGTATCTTCTAGGAAAACATTGAATGTTTGATTTTAAATTCAAATCTCAGTTTTTATTATTTAGTGCATCTCAGTTTTTATTGGTAATATTGTAGCGCATCTCAGTTTTTATTATTTAGTTCATCTCAATTTTTATTATTTATTGCCGACAACCAAGAAACCTCTCTTTTGATTAACAGGACGAGCGAGATTTTGCCTACGGGCTCTTGAGTCAAGCGGAATTGGAATAAGGAGAACTGGAGGTAAATCCATTGAACGTTATTTATGAATATGTGTTACCTATATTGCTTCTTTTGTTTTTAATGGGTGTGCTTAAGGTTTGGTGAACAAACCTAAAGATTCGTTTTTCAACTGCAGTGTTATGACTAAAACTTGGTGAACTGTAAGAAAACTGATAAAGGTAGAATTTACACCAAAAACACATTAGTAGATAATTATATATGATAAATATCATTTTAAATGCTGTTACTATCGTCATTATCATTGCTTATAAATGAAGTTTAGAATTTGAACATTTATATCTCTGTCACAGATCGAAACACGAGGGTACAGACCCGAATCATTGTGAGTATCTTAGTATATTTATGGGCAAAAGTTGTTACTTTACTAAAGTAAAAGCGAAGGAAATTATAAAGGAGAAGCTTTTTAACGTGGGTGGTTTTCCGAGAGCGAAGCTCAAGGAATACCAATAGCTCCGATAAACAGAAAATGTTCAAGGTGAAATATTCAAAAACACTTTCGCGCCAAATATAGATTATTGTGTATTCACAATCCATAGGATATTTGGCTACGCGCAGTACAAATTTTTTCGAACAGCTTTCTGACCCTTTATTGCTTTTGATTTTCAAATTTTTAGTTGAAAATTTGATAACACCATATATCCCCAGTTTTCGGCCGGGTGAAACATTACATTTGATATATTAGAACGTGGAATATTCTTTTTCTGCAGTGATTATGGATAGTCACGCATCTTTTGATCCTCTGGGTATGGATTAAAAGTACAGCAATCAAATTTGTCATGACAGAAGAGGCTACTCTTCTTTGTTTATTATTCTACCACCTCGTAAGCAAAGAAGAGCATTGTTTTAAATAATGACAACCTAGATCTAATATTTGGCGATAATTTTATCAAAGTTAAGTATTGGCTGATAGGTTAAACTATAAGGACGTGAATGGAATACCGTGAGTGTTAGCAGGGAAGGTCAAAACGAAAATCCGGGCAACCTCTTACTTTCAAGTGTATTTTAGCATACAAATGTAAAATAGAAGTCTTTGGTCTATTTTTCTCTTTTAATGTAATACTACACAGGAACTGCAACGAAGAAAAGAGCAAGAAGAGCTCGAGAGGTATGAGTATAAACGATAAAGGGAAATTCGATGAGAGCTTTTAAATTGATGCTTAATCTAATTAATTTCATGATTTCATGTCTAGGTAACACAAAACGGATCATCCGTGAAGCTGCATTGATTTTAACATCGGCCTAAATTCAAAATAAAGAAATAGTGTTTCACTGAATCTTGTAACTGATATTTTCCCTAGAAATGTTAAGCAACACTTCAGAGACTTCAAGTTGAGTTGTATTATTTGCACTTTGGTGCGGAAGTTAGACTGATAATTAGCACAGGTTAAAAATGAATGGAACCCGTGTCACTTTGGAAAATCTCACGAGCAGTTGTAGCACTCAGTTCACTCTGACTCATTTATTCGGTTTGATTCATTCTCTTAAAGTGTGGAGGAGCTGCTTAAAATCAAGCACGAGCTGACAAAAGAAAGGGATGAAAAGCTGTCTGAAATTGCCAGAGTAAGGGTTTTTGATTTCATATTTCCATTCAAATTTTCTTTCGCTCTTTTACATGCTCTGTGAATTTTCATGAGCCAGCAAATGTTCAACAAAAATTTCAACATAAAACCGTCTTTATACACTAAGTTATCGCGTGCAGTTTAGTAACTTTGCAAAAACATCTACGTTATCGTGTTTTAAAAAAGTATGAAAAGTAAGACTCGCAAATCCGTGCAAAGCAAATGCTAGACCCTGTTGTCATTTTTTGTAGAAACAGGTAAATATGGGGTCCCTTATAAATTTTTATGTCTGCCACAAATTTCCATGAAACCTCACAGACTCCTTGATATTGATATTTTTTAATAAATGTGTATTAACAAGCAACGAATATGATTTTTTTTCAGTAAAAAGTTAGAAAGCACAATGATCTTCTAAGTGGTCCATTAGATCTTAAATTGATAGACGACAGACATCCATAGTTATACATTAGGTTACATTCGCATGACTTTTTTTTTTTTTGACAGCTGAAAGAAGACATTCAAGTCCAAAGTAATAAAGCTCAGCGAGAAGCTAGAAAAAGAGAGGAACTTAAAAAGGAGTTGAGTCAAGCAAAGAGCGATTTAGAAAATAGAACTGCTGAGCTGCAGACAAAAGCAGAAAATCTTCAACGTGCACAGGAAGACATCACAAAACTTGACCAGCAACTCAAGGAAGAGAGGGTAAATTTGTTAAGAGTTTTTATTCAATTTTCGTTTATCTTCAAAAAAAAACTTTTAGGCTTCCCTTGGTCATGGATACTTCTTTAATTAGAGAGGAATGGCTTCCAAGTGTTGATGATAATATTTGATTTATTTTAGATAATGAATGAAAAAGCTATGGAGTATACGGATGCGTTGAATGCTCGCCTAAACAAAGTCCAGCAAGATTTTGATCAGCAACTTGTCAGCATTGATCGACTGGCCACGGAAAACGCACAGAAAGGTGCCGAGTTAAAGGCAAAGGAAGACGAGATAAACGGACTGAGACAGGAAACACTACACCAAAGTGCAATGGCAGAAGCCATCCAGAGAAAGCTGAGAGCCATTGAGGATCTGAAGATTGAGGTTGAACAACGCGAAGAAACTCTTAAAGGACAAGTTTCTGGCTTGAAAAAAGGTAAGTGGAATGATGGTATGAAAAAAGAATGTTTGTCTTTTGTGAAACTAGGCAGATCTCAGACATATCTGGCTTTCCCTTTTTCTCAGTTCTAGAGTAGCCCCAACAAGGCAAAGTCACCTTAATCAAGATTTTGCTGTAGATTTAAGGGACTTACACATATAGACAAGGTCAACTACAAATTGCAGCTTTTTTCAAGCATTATCCTATAAATAAGTTATCTTTGTTGTATGATTAGTACTAAGGTGAGCTGCAATTTATGCAACGGCAGGAAAGAAGCTTTTCCAGTCTCCCAGACACTAGTTGTGTGCAACTACCAACTGAGCTACTAAGCCACAGACTGGTAGTGGGGCACAACATAAAGGATCCTTATGATGATAAACTTTTAGTTCAATGTTAGAAATTATGTTGCTATTCATTGTGGTGAATACACGGTGAGATAAACGATAAAACATCTATTAAATTCTTTAGCTCTCCTTAAAATCTATGTCATTATAAATAATGATAATTAGATTGTCAAACATACTCACCAATTAAGATTACTCAAATGAGATGTAACCATTACAATCTATAAACTCTCCCTTCCTTTATTGTAATCAGAACTTGAATCAAGCAGAACGGAAGCTGAAGCAGATAAAAAAGCCATCGATGATCTTGTCTGCGAAAGGGACATCCTTAACCAGGTACTTTACTCTTATCGATTTTACTCTTAATCTGGGCTTAGGAGTTTTGTGGTTTCGGTTTTTAGAAGGGAATGTTATATCTAATATTTGATTTTATTTTTGTGAATAAACCTTTTAAAAAATTTTGAATTTGGAGTCAAGTGGTTCTTGTTGTCGGAACTCATCCCGTTTGCTGTGTTTTGAATGAACCTGGAGTATTTACTTTCCTCCTGGATAAGCCGCTGGCAAATATCTGTATTCTAAATTTTGAAGACAAAAACATCTTCACACAGTTGCTCATCGTGTGTTCTTAAGTAAATTATTAAAGTTAGCGAAAATGCAGTTTTTGACTCATTACAACGTATGACTCTAAACTTGCCAATCTATATCAAGTAAGTGCTAGACCCTGTTGTCATTGTGTTGTAGAAACTGGCAAATATAAGGTCTCATAGAAATATTGATATGTTTGCCACAAATGTCGATGAAACCTCTCCGACTCCCCAATATTGCTATGTATATAACAACAATGGTTATTAAAAAGCAACGAATATGATTTTTTTGTTCCAGTAAAAAGGTTAGAAAGCAAGATTATCTTCTTAGGTGTCCATCACATTTTAAAATTAATGAAAACAGTTTTCCATGGTTATACATTTGGTTAAATTTGTAGGATTTTTTTTGTTTCCGCAGTTTAAAGTAGACATCCAAGTCCAAAGTGATATAGCTCAGAAAGAAGCTAGAAAAGGAGAGGAACTTAAAAAGGAGTTGAGTCAAGCAAAGAGCGATTTAGAAAATAGAACTACTGAGCTGAAAATAAAAACAGAAAATCTTCAACGTGCACAGGAGGACATCACAAAACTTGACCAGCAACTCAAGGAACAGAGGGTAAATTTGTTAAGAGTTTTTATTCAATTTTCATTTATCTTCAAACGTTCATGTCAATATTCGTGTGATAGAAAAAAAAACTTTTAGGCTTTCCCCGGTCATGGATACTTCTTTAATTAGAGAGGAATGGCTTTCAAGTGTTGATGATGATATTTGATTTATTTCAGATAATGAATGAAAAAGCTATGAAGTATACGGATGTGTTGAATGCTCGCCTAAACAAAGTCCAGCAAAGTTTTGATCAGCAACTTGTCAGCAGTAATCGGCTGGCCACAGAAAACACACAGAAAGCAGCCGAGTTGAAGGCAAAGGAAGAGGAGATAAACGGGCTGAGACAGGAAACACTGCACCAAAGTACAATGGCAGAAGCCATCCAGAGAAAGCTGAGAGCCATTGAGAATCTGAAGATTGAGGTTGAACAACGCGAAGAAACTCTTAAAGGACAAGTTTCTGGCTTGAAAAAAGGTAAGTGGAATGATGGTATGAAAAGAGGAATGTTTGTCTTTTGTGAAACTAGGCAGATCTCAGACATATCTGGCTTTCCCTTTTTCTCAGTTCTAGAGTAGCCCCAACAAGGCAAAGTCACCTTAATCGTGATTTTGCGCGTAGATTTAAGGGACTTACAAATATAGGCAAGGTCAACTACAAATTGCAGCTTTTTCCAATTATTATCCTATAAATAAGTTATCTTTGTTGTATGATTAGTACAAAGATGAGCTCCAATTTATGCAACGGCAGGAAAGAAGCTTTCCAGTCTCTCAGACACTAGTTGTGTGCAGCTACAGACTGAGCTACGAAGCCACACGCTGGAAGCAAGGCACAATTTAAAGGATTCTTATGACTATTAACTTTTAGTTCAATGTTAGAAATTATATTGCTATCCATTGTGGTAAATCTTTTGATAGATGTTGTATGGTTCGTGTCACGATATGGAGTCAGGCGAACAATTCATATCGATTGCCTGACTCAATATAATGAGATAAACAATAAAACATGTATTAAATTCTTTAGTTCTCGTTAAAATCTATATGTCATTACAAATGATGATAATTAGCTTGTTCGACATACTTATCAATTAAGATTACGCAAATGGGATGTAACCTTTACAATCTATAAACTCTCTCTTCCTTTATCTTATTCAGAACTTGAATCAAGGAAAAATCAAGCTGAAGCAGATAAAAAGGCCATCGATGGTCTTGTCTGTGAAAGGGACATCCTTAACCAGGTACTTTACTCTTGTCAATTTTGTACTTAATCTGAGCTTAGGAGTTTTGTGTTTTTGGTTTTTAGAAGGGGATGTTATATTTAATACTTGATTTTATTTTTGTCGACAAATCCTTTAAAAAATTTTAATTTGGAGTCAAGCGGTTCTTGTTGTCGAACCTCATCCTGTTTACTACGTTAGAAATGAACCGGAGTATTCACATTCCTCCTAGTTAAACCACGAGCATATATCTGTACTCTAAATTTTAAAGACAAAAACATCTTCATACAGTAGCTCATCGTGTGTTCTTAAGTACATTTTTAAAGTTGGAGAAAATGCAGTTTTTGACTCATTACAACGTATGACTCTAAACTTACCAATCTATGCCAAGGAAGTGCTTGACCCTGTTGTCATTTCTTTGTAGAAATTGGCAGATATAGGGTCTCATATATAAATCTTGATATGTTTGCCACAGATGTCCATGAAACCTCTCAGACTCCCTAATATTGCTATCTTTATAAATGGTTACTAAGAAGCAACGAATATGATTTTTTTGTTCCAGTAAAAAGGTTAGAAAGCAAGATTATCTTCTAAGGTGTCCATCACATTTTAAATTAATGGAAACAGTTTTCCATGGTTATACATTTGGTTAAATTTGTAGGATTTTTTATTTCCACAGTTTACAGTAGACATCCAAGTCCAAAGTGATCAAGCCCAGCGAGAAGCTAGAAAAGGGGAGGAACTTGAAAAGGAGTTGAGTCAAGCAAAGAGCTATTTAGAAAATAGAACTGCTGAGCTGAAAACAAAAACAGAAAGTCTTCAACGTGCACAGGAAGACATCACAAAACTTGATCAGCAACTCAAGGAACAGAGGGTAAATTTGTTAAGAGTTTTTATTCAATTTTCATTTGTCTTCAAACGTTCATGTCAATATTCGCGCGATAGAAAAAAAAACTTGTAGGCTTCCCCTGGTTATGGATACTTCTTTAATTAGAGAGGAATGGCTTTCAAGTGTTGATGATGATATTTGATTTATTTCAGATAATGAATGAAAAAGCTATGGAGTATATGGATGTGTTGAATGCTCGCCTAAACAAAGTCCAGCAAGGTTTTGATCAGCAACTTGTCAGCATTGATCAGCTGGCCACAGAAAACACACAGAAAAAGGCCGAGTTGAAGGCAAAGGAAGATGAGATAAACGGGCTGAGACAAGAAACACTGCATCAAAGTGCAATGGCAGAAGCCATTCAGAGAAAGCTGAGAGCCATTGAGGATCAGAAGATTGAGTTTGAACAACGCGAAGAAACCCTTAAAGGACAAGTTTTTGGCTTGAAAAAAGGTAAGTGGAATGATGGTATGAAAAGAGAATGTTTCTGATTTTTAAAAATTAGGCAGATCTCAGACATATCTGGCTTTCCCTTTTTCTCAGTTATAGAGTTGGCCAACAATGCAAAGTCACCTTAATCGTGATTTTGCGTGGACTTACAAATATGACAAGGTCAACTACAGATTGCAGCTTTTTCCAAGTGTTATCCTGTTAAATAAGTTATCTTTGTTGTATGATTAGTACTAAGGTGAGCTGCAATTTATGCAACGGCAGGAAAGAAACTTTTCCAGTCTCCTAGACACTAGTTGTGTGCAACTACAAACTGAGCTACGAAGCCACACACTGGGAGCAGAGCACAATTTTATGGATTCTAATAAAAATGAATTTTTAGTCCAATGTTAAAAATAGAGAATAATATATGGATGTGCATTGATATGGAATTTCTCTTCGAGCGTTTAACTCGAGAAGAGAATTCCATATCTACAATTAACCGTGAAATATATAGATTTAGCTAAGCCTAAAAGCGGAGCTCGGTTTTTTTTCCCCGCACGTCTTAAGGGTTCATCGCCTTGCCCCAGCCAGGACTAGAACCCGGGTCGTCCGACTCGGAGCCCAGTGCACTGACTACTGGACAGAGCCGTGGCGTTCGCGTGCCCGCAGTACAGTTGACCACGCATGTTAAAAGTAGGACCTTGTACGGTCGTACGGTCGTACATCCAGATTCACGATGAAAAAATGCATTGAATTATTACAAAAACAACAATAAACGTACTTTTCACTGAAAAAAAAATCTCAGTTATTGACTTTGTCCTCATCGACAGAAGAAATATTTCACGTACAGTGCCAAAATCGGCCAGTGGCAACTCTACCAACTTGGCTCCAGCAGTCGACTTTTGTTCTCAGACACGAGAAATGCCATTACCAAAGCCACTGAATGCGTAAATTTCGGTTTTTCTTTTCGTACTTTGGTTTTCTTCCCATTCAAAGTTTGAACGTCAGGGTCTGTAAACGATACGGATTTTTCAGTTTTTTAACAGCCATAATCCGAGAAAATTCCGACAAACGACCTTGGATTGAGAATGGTTAAGGCTTTACTGTTCATTCATCAACCCAACAGAGTGGCGAGAAAGGCGAGTGACGTGCTAACAGCTGATTGGCGATATCAAACACACGTGAAAAAATATCGTATCTTTTCACGTGTGTTGTTACGGCTTTTCTCAGGGCTGGAAATCCTAGTATAACACCATAGTTTATATGATAAATTATGTTATTATTCATCGTGGTGAATAACTTGATAGGTGTTTAATCGTTTGTCTTATGATAAAGAGTCAGGCGACCAATTCATATTGATAGCCTGACTCTATGTCTTGAGATAAACGATAAAACATCTATCAAATGTTTTAGTTCTTGTTAAAAGTTGATGTAATTACAAATCATGATAATTAGATTGTTTGACATATTTAGAAATTAAGATTTAACCTTTACAATCTATAGAATTTCTCTGCCTTTATCTTAATCAGAACTTGAATCAAGCAGGAGGCGGGTTGAAGCAGATAAAAAGGCCATCAATGATCTTGTCTGTGCAAGAGACAACCTTAACAAGGTACTTCAACCTTGTCAATTTTACTCTTAATCTGAGCTTGGGTGTTTTGGGTTTTGGTTGTTAGAGGAGGATGTTATATCTAGTATTTGCTTTTATTTTAGTTTATCAATCTTTTAAAAAGTGTCCAAATTCTGTTATAACCTCAGGAACATTGATGTTTTATTAAAAGGGAATGTGGATTTTGGATGAAACATCGTTCTTTTTATGAAAAAGATCATCGCTTAGATAATTCTCCTTAGGTGGGCTAAAAACAGGACCAGGACCTCATCCTGTTTGCTGCGTTATGAATGCACTTGGGGTATTGCCATTCCCCCTGAATCGAATGTTTGTCTATTGCAGGTTCCCCTCCTCCCACCCCTTCCCTGGACTGATTGCTAGTCCATTACAGGTTACTCTCCTCCCACCCCACCCTTAGGAAGTCTTAAGGCACCCTAGGGCACCGCAATTTTTCTAATCCTATGTTATCGAGTATAATTAATAAGAGAGAGGATTTGAGTTTGTCTATGTACTTAAATACACACAGGAGGAGATGGAAGCAAAAGAAAAAATGAAATTGTAAGTACTACAGGTTGTCTCATTCGTTGCATTAGCACCGTGCTTTTTAAGTGCTTTCATGTCTCCCGATCTTGCTGCAAATGTATAAACTAGGGAGTTATACCTGTGTCAACTTGTGGTTAATGTTTGCCTACCTGAAAAATACTGAAATTAGTAAACAACAGCTAAGTCTGTCTTAGAGTCAAATTTTGGCATCGCAAGCTGTCGGATTATTCGCACACAATCAATTATCAATTAATCAATCTGGGAAGTTACAACCTTTCCCCCTTATTTAGACCCTGCAGCACCCCTTTGCCTCTCTCGTAATATTTAATTCCTTGTTAAAAATTAACACTACTTCTAGAATTAGTAAGAGCCATAAACATTTCTATTTGCTTAGAAATATTTGGTTCACATATTTTCCCAATTTAGAAGTATTCCCTAACGCTTTAAGTGTTAAGGAGCTCCAGTAAAATGACACAAAAGGACATTTTGTTTGTCTTCGTGAAGTGATATCACAGAGTGCTGTAAATTTTTTTCTTCTTTTTACAGAGAATTTAAGAAATTAGAAAGAAACTTCGCCATCTATCGCCTGGAGGTAAAATATCTGTAATTGAGCACTTTGTACGTAGAACGCTTTATCTTGTTGGTGAATCTGATTTCCAAGCTAATGCATTAAGCGGAATCAAGTGACAAATATTTTTATGTTTGTATTTACGGGCGAAATGTTTGAAGATTATTGTCTTACCGAAACGATTGATGAGATTGGAAACATGCCGTTGTACTTAAAAGGTGTCCATAAAATTTTGAATTTTGTCGCGCCGTAAAAGTGAAAGAGCTCGTCCAAATATCTTTGAAGTGCTCGTAAAAAAAAGACACAAAAGCTTGTTTCTTCTTCTTCAAGAAACTATTGAAGCATTCTTGTGACTTCTTGTTCATTTTGACGAGACCTCTGTGAAAGATCTACTTTGAGCAGAGGCGACAAAAGTAATTTAGAGAAAAATATTGCATTGTAGGTAATTTAGCATAACGACCAGTAAACTTCTCTCTTCACCAAAGTAACGATCAAAAACCACCCGCTACCTGCAGCTGAGAAGTGTTGACGGGGAAGTCTTGAGGTGTTTCATAGTACCACTGAACAATATCGGTAAACATAGTCTTGTAATTGGTTTTTCAGGGGAAGATGGCTCTGAATGACATGGAGAAGTAAGTAAATATAATTATTCGCTTATCAGCAATGGTTAGAAGACTGTTTCTTCAGATGAAGTTTTCTGAGAGTGTAGCCCTGCTGAGAGGCTGGGTTGAAATTATGGTCACAAAAAACGCTTGAATTTAGGGAAATGAAGATCTATAGCCCATTATCAGTGGAGAAAATTGAGGAAAGATCTATAATAAGCAGTCGAAATACTTCTCAAGTTTTTTTAATCTGGTAAATTTGTAAACCATGCAGTTCAAATTTATTTACAAATTAAGGTGAGTGGAAAATTTCGAGGTGAAAATTTTACCAAAATTTCTTTCTAAAAATGCAAATAGCACGTGTACTGAGGAATTTAGCTACAAATTTTTCTCAAAGAAAATTCCAATAGCTTCGTAATTTCTAGATAATTTGATTACTTGTCGTCATAGTAGCAAAGAGTCGATCATCTAAAAAGCCTCGGTGAAGCTTTTCTAATTTTTAAGTAAATTCAACCATTTAGTAGATCACGACCTAGTTCATAAACCTTACACTGTTAACTGGAAGAGTAAAATTTCATGTTGTATTTCACTTTTTACAGCAAATTGGAGGATGCGAAGAAAGCTCTAGCAGATGTAAGTATACTTGAGAAATGTCTGCATTCAGTTGCAGCACTTTAATTTGTTTTCAGCTTTAGAAATCTGAAATTATTCATTTCAGCTTCTCTTGTAACTTTTCATCCAACTAACTTGTAAAGAAGTGCAAACTATCTAACCAACTGAACTTGTCAGCGTGGTTGAGTATGTCTTAGGATGTGGTTCCTGATCAAAGTATTCAAAAAGCTGAAAAACAGATCCCCCTCTCTGACCGTCTGTTGAAATTGGAATACTACGACTTTATTATGGCACGAGCAAAGTGTAGTTAAATGCATGCGAACACTCATCACCGGATGCAAAGTTACGATTCCCGGTTGAATTGATTTATTTTGTTTCATCAGAAACGTTTGATAGCCATATAACTATAAATTTGATAACTTCGACCGTTCACTTGTTTTTGCAAAAAAACCTCAAATCTCGGCTTTAGTTTGAGATAGTCCCGTTATGACACCATTCTCGGTTATTAAGTAGTTAGAATGGAATGCCTATTGTGATTTTCCCATCACATTGTCAAGACAAACTTACTATCTTTGGAGCTGTTAAAGATTTTAACCAATAGTATAATTTAGTTTAATATTATAATTAGGGCCTTTCCACACTGGCGACTGAGTTGTTTATTTAGACAAATTTTCTTTCATCACGAACATTTTACAAGTGCGGATGGCTTGTCGCAACTTCACAAATTTTGGCCAAATTAGACATATCTTCAAACGCACCACCGATAAACCAAACCTTTATAACCTTGTCAATCATTTTTCGTAAAAGCTATGACAAGTGTGTAATTGAACTGAAATCAGTTTACTAGAAAGGCAAAAATTGTCATTTGCTGCAAAACTCGGGCATTTTATATTTTGAAAACGACTTAGGACCAATCTGGGAAATTGATTTTCCATAGACAGTTAGAAAGTAATAATGAAAGATCGGCAGAATTAATTACCATCGGTTGGGTTTACCATGAAATGCGATTTTCGAGGACAATTCATTATCTAGAGAAGTTTTACATGCCATGACAACCTCTTTAACATTCTTCACCCATGTTAGACG